CACCGATCAGGAACCTAGTGGGTCATTTCAGAAAAGCAGCGGCATATTAGCAAAAGCTACTTAGCTGTTCCAGCTACCAGCACCCCAAGCGAGAGAATCTTTTCACTCGCTGGGAATACAATTACGCGACAGCGTGCGAGCCTGCATCCAGCCCATGTCAACGCCCTCATTTTCTTGCACGCAAACCAGGATAAAAAAGTAAATTATGTGACTGAGCAGGACTCTGACAGTGAGTAGGCTTATAGCCTTTCTCGTTCGAGAGTTATGAAATCACTTCATATGAATTAGTGTTCTGTTCTGACGACGGTATGCATTACTTTTGCATAAAATATTTGTCGTTTTTATATTTTTAGTAAGTGCAGTGTTTATTGTGTTGACTGTGCATTTGTTGGCACTAAAATTAGCCAGTGCTGTTGCATTGTTTTTGCAATGTGTTATGAGCTGTCTAACAGCATTTGTATATTTTGTTCCTGTCAATAAATTACAAATTGTGGCATGTTGCAAAACTTTTGCATCGTTTTAATGATGACGTCACCAGCGACTAGTCGACGTCGACTGGACTTCAATCACATAAAAGTCGACTTTAAAAAATCTAAAGTCGTTCAACCACTACCGTGAACTCAGAATTGTGAATCGTATTGAATCGTGAGTTGAGTGTATTGTTACATCCCTACTGTTTACTGATCACCACCTGGTAGGCAGTTGGATCCAATGGTGGGGGAAGACGCCAGAAAGACCTGGTAGACCCAAATGCATAGCGAGGGTGTGTTGGAAGCATCTGGCAGAGGCCTCTGTCTGGGAGATCGTCAGCTCACACCTCTGGCAGAACTTCTACATCCCAAGTGAGTCAGGGAATATTGAGCCTGAATGGGCAATGTTCCGAGATTCCATTGCTGAGACAGCTGTGTGGAGCTGTGGCTGTAATGTTGTTGATGCCTGTCGCAGTGGCAATTCCCAAACCCGGTTGTGGACACCAGCAGTTAAGGGAGCTGTCAGGCTGAAGAAGGAGGCCTCCTGAGCTTGATTGTCTGGTAGGACTCGTGAATCAGCGGACAGGTACTGGGAGGCTAAGCTGCATGCAGTTGCTGAAGCAAAAACCTGAAAGGAATTTGATGAGGCCATGGAAAATGGCTTTCGGTCGACCACAAAAAGATTCTGACAAACAGTGAAGCGACTCGGTAGGGGGAAGCAAGGCTTTATCCATGCTGCAGGGATGGTGAACTGTTGACCTCAGGCAGTGGAAGTAGTATTTCCAGGACCTCCTGAAACCCACTGATATGCCTTCCTTGTAGGTAGTAGTGCTGACAGTGTCACACCCTGCTCCGTACGATCCCGATGTGTGCCACGCCCCCCTCATTACCTCGTGTTCAACCCTGATTGTGATCGCCTGTGTCCTATTAAGTCTAGCTTGTCTTGTGTATTTAGTCCTCGTCTGAGTCAGTCTTCCCCAGACTTGTCATTGCGTTGTTCATGTATTGTCCGTCGATGTCCGTACCTGTCCGTCCGCCTCCAAATAAACCCCGTTTCCCTGACTACCTGGCTGCTCTCGCCTGCTTCCCTTCTCGCCTCCCCACCGAACGTGACACAGACAGACTCAGAGGGGGACTTTACTCATTTCTAGGGCTCAGGTCACTGAAGTAGTCAAAAAATTCTTTGGTAGTAAGGCTCCAGGGGTGGATGAGATTCTCCCTGAGTTTCTGAAAGCTCTTTATGTTGTTGGGCTGTCTTGGCTGACACATCTCATAAAGATTGCATTGAGGTTGGAGACTGTGCCTTTGGTTTGGCTTTAAGAAGGAAGACTGGAGAATGTGTTCCAGCTTCAGGGGATCAAGCTCCTCAGCCTCCCTAATAATAATTATAGTAATAATAATAATAATTATTATTATAATTCACGCTCCTCATCCTTCCTGGAAAATCTTTGCCAAGGTACTGGAGAAGAGGGTCGAACCTGGTTGGTTGAACTTTGGATACAGTAGAAACCATGTGGATTCCGTCCTGGTCACAGAACACTGGACCAGCTCTTCACCCTCGCAAGGATACTGGACAGGTCATGGGAATTTGCCTAACCAAACTACATGTGTTTTGTGGACTTGGAAAAGGCATACGATTGTGTCCTTTGGGGGATTCTGTGGGGGTTGCTTCAGAAGTACAGGGTTGTAGGCCATCATGTCCCCATATTAACGGAGCAAAAGCTTGGTTCGCATTGCTTACAGTAAGTCAGACTCATCCCTGGTTGGTGTTGGACCCCACCATGGCTACTCTTTGTCACCTCCAAGTTTGAGGCCATGGTTTTCTACTGGAAAAGGGCCTTCTCTTGGCGGGGGAGGAGTTACTGCCTCAATAGAGTAGTTTAAGTATTTTGGGGTCTTTTTGATAAATGAGGGATGAAGGGAGTGGGAGATTGACAGGCAGATTGGTGCAGCATCAGCAGTAATGCGTTTACTGTACCATTCTGCCATGGCAAAAAGAGCTGAGCCGAAAGGCAAAGCAATCGATATACCGGTTGATCTACATTCCTATCCTCACCTATAGTCCTGATCTTTGGGTTGTGACTGAAAGAATGAGATATAAGTGGCAGAAATTAGTTTGCTTTGCAAGGTGTGTGGGCTCAGTCTAGTTCAGACATTTGTGAGGAGCACAAAATAGAGCCACTACTCCTCCGCATTGAAAAGAACCATTTGGAGTTTTTCAGGCATCTATCTAGGATTCCTCCTGGACGTCTCCCTGGGGAGGTGTTCAGGGCATGTCTAACCAGAAGGAGACCCAGGGCAGACCCAGGACATACTGGATAG